CCAGAGAACAGTGCAAGAGTTCAGCCTGAAATTGGAAAGGCAAGGATACCTCCAGTAAAAACACAGAGAGGGAACAACACGCGTAGGTAACTTTGAACCCCGGTGTGCGGGTTCAACCCGCACCTGACGCCGCTTGTCCGCACCAGGTGACTATTGCAGCTCACGGGGGATCGCCCTCCCGACAGCCACCACCTGCCTCCGCGCTGCCAGCACAGCAGCGCATCCCTGTGTTCCCAAAAACAAACACCTTACCTTCCCGGGCTGCCCGGGGAGGTCGGCGAGTCTCCCTCTCCGGACACGTTCAAAGCCCACCTGGACGCGCCCCTGTGTCACCTGCTCCCGGTGACCCTGCCTGGGTGAGGGTGGGGGTACTGGTTGATCTCCAGAGCTCCCTTCCAACCCTCACAATCCTGTGATCCCCCAGGGCCCCATCCCCGCATCCCTCCCAGGGAGCGCTGCCCGGGGTGTAGCCCCGGGGGTCCCCCCCGGCTGCTGCGGCGGGGGGGCTGAGGGGCCGGCACTCACCAGAGCAGGGCGCAGAGCAGCAGGCAGGAGCCCAGGGCCAGGGGCCGGCGGGGCGGCTCCCTCATGGTCTCCCGGCTCTCCCTGTGCGGGCCGTGCAGCGGCGGCGGCTCATCCTCCCTCAGCCCCGGCGGCTCCGTGAGGGCGGCGCGGGGCTCCGGCCGTTGTCGCGCGCGGCCCCTCCCTACGCGCGGCGCGAGCGGCGGCACGCGCTGCCTGCGGGGCAACGGCGGCGCCTGCGCAAAGCCCCTCCCGGCGCGCGAGCCCGGCCGTTACTGCCCCCCTTACACCCCGGCCCCGCCCCTTTTACCCCCTCACACGCTGAGCTGGAAGGATGCGCGTCACCCCCCGCTTCGCGCCCGTCAGCCAATGGCTTGAGCGTCCCGCGCGATGGCCCCGCCTCCCGACCCCGCCGATTGGGCGGTGCCCTTGCCCCTTAAGGACCCCCTCCGTGAGGTGTCGGAGTTAGGAGAGCCGTTAAAGGGAAATCGCCATACTGATAAACGGCGGCTGGCGGTCAAACCCGAGGCCGCGAGGCTCGCTAAAACCGTCACTACCACCGTTCCAAGGGACATTTTAAGCAACGGCGCTCCGACACGACAGCTTTAAATTGTTTTTTTTTTTAAATTTTGATCAGGCTTCTCTGCGGGCTGCCGAGCGCTGAGGCCCCTCCAGAAGGGAAGGCGCGCGGGGGCTGCCGGGAGTTGTAGTTCCGGACAGGAGAGCGACTGTACGAGGCCCCGGCCGCCATTTTGAGGGCGCCCTGAGGGGGCCCGTCATGAGTAGCGGGGTCAGGCTCCACCCCCGTGTGTGTGAGGGGCCATTAAGATGTTCGGTGCATATTTATATCCACTGTATGAGGGGGAGCCGAGCACAGCCAGAGGCTATCGCTGCTGGGAGATGCTCAGGGAATACAGGGGAGCCTGAGGGCGATGTGGGACAGAAGGGAGGAGCCTTCCCTGGCACTGGCACGTTTGGGTGAACTGGTAGAAAAACACAACAGTTATTATCAAAAACAACAGGCATTTTGCAGGTAACCAAGCCTAATTCTGGCCATCTACAGTGTGGCATGAGGTGGGCTTTACACCGAGCCAGGAACACCATCCTTGCGGCTCACCCAGAGCTGGGGGTTTGGTTCCCAAGGACAGGAGACGCGGTGGGAGCAGCGAGGCACGACACAGCAGCGACACAGCAGTGACACAGAGCTCTCCCCGCCCGCGGGGAGCCCGGGAAGGCGCAGGTGGATTAGTCACGGGGATGCCACGCTGGAAACGTGCACATGTCAGGACTCTGAACGAGGAAGGACAGCTTTGCCTGCTGGGCACGGGTGACTCACGGCAACCCGGGCGGGATCAGTGCCCTCCCAGGTCACAGAGGGCCCTATTTTCCCCAGAGCAGCTCCAGCCCCATCACCCAGCCCTTAGAGCCTTCCCGGGTGCCTGCAGGGCTCAGCGAGGGGCCGCTGAGCTGCGGGATGTCGTGACTGGACTCAGCCAGCACTGGAAACCTCTGGAGAGTCTTTGTTCTTTTCCTGATTTTTCACCCTGTAACTCTGTGCTTTTGTTAACACCCAGCATCCCTTGCCCTTCCAAGAGCTCCACGTGCCACAGACAGCAGACAGGCCTGCATTGCAATGCATGGAGAAGGGATGAGGGAGAAGCTCCAGCTTTGTGCCCCATCCCCGCACAGGCTGGGGTTTTAATCCCCCTCCCACAGACCATCAGCATCCAATCCAACCCCCTTGCCAAGGCAGGGTCACCTGGAGCAGATGACACAGGGACACATCCAGGTGGGTTTGGAATGTCTCCAGAGAGGGAGACCTCCCTGGCAGCCTGTTCCAGTGCTCTGCCACCCTCCATGGAAAGAAGTTCTTCCTCATGTTGAGGTGGAACTTCTTGTGTTTTAGTTTATGGCGGTTGCTCCTTGTACTGTCACTGGACACCACTGAAAAGTCCAGCACCAACCTCTTGACACCAGCCTTGGAGATATGTACATGCACTAATGAGAAACCTGGCTCTGAGCTGCTGGGAAGGGCTGGGACTCCACGGGGAATTCCTCTGCGAGTCACCGGTAAGTTTCAAAGAAACCCATGGGATTTAACACCAGCATCTCACAGAGGAAAACAGGCTCACTGAGCCACAGTAGGGGTTATTCCAAGATGAAGGCGGCCAGGAGGGTGGCTCTGGCAGTGCCTGCTCCATGTCCCCAGAGCGAGTGCCCGCTGGCAGCTCTCCCAGTGGGTCAGTGGGGAGCCTGGCTGTCCCAGCACCGCTCCCTCCACTACCTGGTTAGGTCCTGTTGCCCCGGGAGCATGCCCAGACAGTTACGGGAGTGAGGTAAGTCCTGAAAAATGCTGAGAACCCACTTCACGGCCCCAGCAAGGCATGAGACAGCACCTTTGCCATGAGGGTTTTTCCAGCTTTTTGTGGTGCCAGAGCTAAGACATGGCACGGCGTGGATCCGAGGCTGTGGGGGGGGTCTCTGGGGGAGGGTTATGAGCAGAGGTACGCTGGGGAGGGCCCAGCTGTTCCCCCAGGGACCCAGAGCAGGGCCATGAAAATCCTCTGTGCCCAGGGACACGCCTCCATGCCGGCCACAGGGAGCTGCCTCAGCGGTGGGAAATTCCCCGAGCTGTGGGAGCAGCGGTGCATGTCCCACCTGCAGCTGCTGTAACCACACCAGGGAGTGCCACAGCTCTCCCTGTGGGGCCGGAGGGGACAAGGCGATGTGAGCTCCAGCTGCAGGTGCCTCCCTCTGCCTCCTGCCTGGACATGACCCCAGGGACCTGTGTAGAACTTGTCTCGGTTGTGGATGCTGCCAGTTATGGCACCTTCCCTTGTGAGGGAGAGCAGTGTCAGCATAGGGAGATGCCAGACGAGGGGCACACCTGTCCTGCCTCCAGCTGGAGGACTCACCCATGGACACCTCACCCAGCAGGCACAGAGCATTTCCCCATCCTACAAACTGTGCGCTGGGGATGGCCAGGACCAGAGCAGTAGAGAAATCTGTCCATGAAGCACTGGAAATTCAAACAACTGCTTAGCTGTCTGCTGGGAGGGATGGTAAGCATTTATTAATCCATTGCTAAGACCTTCCAGCCAGAGAACTTCCATCAGCACTGCCATGGCGTGCAGCTGGGACTGTGTCCATTGTCAGCCTCTGCTGTGCTCTCGGGACTGTAACTCCTCCAGCCTCATCTCCAGGAGCTTTTCCCCAAGAGCAGAGGAGAAGGCTGTGAAGCCACACTTGCTCAGCCCGTGTGGCTGCTCTCCCCGGCCCAGCTCCCGCACGCTACGATCCCGTTACCAGCGGGAGATTGATCACACACAGCTCAGAGCAAAGGCAGCTGAAGAGCTGTCACAGAGCACAGACCATTTCAGGGGAACCACGGCAGTGACTGGTCAGGATCCTGGAGGAAAAACCCCCTCAAGTCAGTCCCCACCAGGCATGAACCAAAAGAGCCTGGGTCAGCCAGAAGGGGTTTCAGTGCATCACCTGTGACACACCCACATACCAGTGCTTGCTGAGCTTGTTTCTCAGCCGCTGATAAGAAGAGCAGTATAATGGTAAAAACAATTGCAGATCACCCAATCTCTCAACTAAAGCCCATAATTAACCCAAAACCCAATGAACTGTGGGGTTACCTGGGAGCAAGTATTTGCACGGGATTCTCAAAGTTGCTGCATATTTGCAGCAAGGTTTTTTGGCTTGCTCTTGGCCAAATTCCTCACAGAAAACCCCAGGGTGAGGCGAGCTGGTGGAATTCCCACAAACAGTTGGCCCTTCTAGGGCTGAATTTGAGCCACCACTCACCCTGCATCCACTGGGTGGGGAACACCCCTCTGCTGACAGGGAATAAAAGCCGGGTTGTGGTGCTTGGCACCCTGGGTAGGGAGAGCTGGAGGTGGCCACCCAAGGGGCACCTTCTGAGCGGGAGGAGAGAGAAGGTGCTGCAGTTTTACCTGTGCAGTGATGGGGCAGTGCTTGTCCACTGCACTCAAACAGGCCCTGTGTGTCCTGCTGGCTGTGGAGTATCTCCCAGAGACTTGGGAACTGAGGCCGTGGAGCAGTGTTTGACTTCTGGAGGGACACCTGATCCTGGGGTACACACTGGGCTTCTCCTTCTAGCACTTTCCAGCACTTGTTTGCTGCAGTGGCTAAGACTTCTCTCCCATTCATCCCTATCTGCTCTTTACAAAGACTTCTTGTTTTACCTAATGTTGGGTTTTTGTTTAGGTTTTTTTTTCACGCGTGATTTAATTCACACAAACTCCTTCCTATTCTGACTATTGATCTTGGCTCCTTACTGGTTAAAACAAAGTAAATCTTTCATAAGCAGGTTCTGACAACGCAACTTTTGTTCCTTCCAGACACAATTTCCTGTTTAATTTCCTGACTGTTTCTTACTTGGTAAAGGAAAAGTTGTAAATTGCAAGATTGCTTCAGAGACCTTCCTCTGACTTTAGGTGAACCGTTAACCACTTGCGGGAGAGAATCCAGCAAACCAGCGTAAAACTTTAGAAAATCCTCGATTTCTTTTATTTCTTCGGTGATTCTCACTGAAAGGAAACAAGCTGGGGAGGGGCGGCAGAGGCGGGGAAAGAAGTTGGAATAATTTTCCTTGGAAAATCAAACAGGAGCAACTCTGCCTCCAGCTGAGTTGATAATTGCTCTTTCATCACTCAGCAAACTGTCTCTTACACATGGGCTGTGCCTCTGCGGTCCCAAATGTGGGTCCCGGACATCTCCCTGGGAGCTGATTCTCGCTCCCACTCCTTTAAAATCCCGAGGGACGCCATGCCGGGCTGTGACCGCGGTCACAGTGACCAGCTGATCCAGCTGCAGATTCCCGGATCACCGAAGCGCTGGCTGTGCACGGAGCCTCGTTAGGGTTAATTAACGTGGGCTGGCGCCGAGGAGCGTCTGGCAGGGAGGGACAGCGGGACACGGTGACATCCAGCAGGGGCCGTGTGACCTGGTGCAGGAGAGCGACTGCTCAGATCTCCTGCCAGCCCCAATCCTGCCTGGAAGAGCCTTGAAATCTGGCACAGGTGGCACAGTGCCACAGCTCCAAAAAGCACGGATGGAGCCACAGCCAGGACCACCTAGGACAGCCCCTGGCGTGGCTCGTGGAGGGCACAGCCAGGTCCAGGTCTCCTCCACCTGGCTCAAACACTGAAAGTCCAAACTTTAAGTAAGATGAAGAAAATGAATTGAGATGGGAATGCCACTTTTGAAAACATTTGTATTTGATTTGCTCATTTCATGTGGCTTCATTCAAATTTCAACTTTGCCTAGAAACAGGAGATTAAGTGATTGCTTCAGCAGGGATGCCCAGGCAGGGTACAGCGGGAAGCCTCAGCATCTCCCAGCCCTGTTTCAGAACCACAAAGCCCCTGCATGGCAGAAAACACCATTTCCTACAGCCAGTGCTTGGGAATGGATAGAAAATGGCTTCAAGAAGGGACCCACCTTCTCCTAGCCCGGCTGGCAGGTGTTCTGGGTACAACCTTCAGCAGCATCTCGGCTCAGTGCTGTGACACCAGTGCAGAGGCCACTGCCTGCTGGAGAAGACAAACGTGGTCGGCAGCCGAGGAGCTTCTCTCACCATCTGACAGGGCTGGCGGAACAGGGAAAGTCCAAACGCTCCCGGCAGCGTCAAAATTAACTCTTGATCACGTGATGGAAATGTGGTGTGGGACAAGGGGCTTCCAGTGGGGTGAACAGAAGTGGTGGGTGCCTTGGTCCCCCCAGGTTCTTCCCGACAGCTGCTGTCTGAGCCCCCCTGGGAAAAGAAAAAGCAAATTTCACTACAGAAACTGAGAAACGGCAAAACTTCATGATGGAGGTGTAAAGCTTTTTTTGGCTCTCATTTCTGGGAGGACAGCGTGGGCTGAAGCTTCCCCTGCCCTCTTCACCCTCTCACCTGAGGGCTGGGAAAGCACCCGGTGCAACCTAGTGCTGGGTTCTCTCCATGGCCACATGCAAACCAAGGCCAAAGCAGGTGATCCCACAGGTCAGCAGTGCCAGGAATGTTCTGGGAGAGCGGCACAGCCTCTGCAGGAACAGGAGCACCTCCACTAGATCCAAGTGGTGGGGATGAGAGATGAGAAGGCCAGCCAGGCATACATAGGGAATGCCACAGGCTCAGCTGTTTCCCTTCCCCTTCCTCCCAACTACTAGAATAAACTAAATTCCCACCTGGCTCCATCCCCTCCCTGGCAGATATTTAAAAACAGGGAGAGGAGTGCGAGGGTGGCTGGTAGCAGGAATGTCACTCCTCAGGGACCCCCGTGTTCCCAAGGGAACATGCACGTCTTGCAGGGCTGGGCCCAGGGACCCCCCTTCCCTGTGTTCCAGAGTAGGACAAGCTCATGTTGCAGGAAGAAGTGCTCAGCCCCAACATCACACTGCTCTTCCCAAGCACATGGGCTCCTGCTTGGAGGCTCATGGGGAGAGGGCAGGAAGGGCTCCTGGGGTGAATACCTCCTGTGAAATCACAGTGTTTCCAGGCTGAGGGTTAGGGTTTGAACAAAGGCTTCTCTACCAGGCAAATGGGAAGGTGAGCACAGAGAGGAGGATCCTCTCGCAGTGCACCAGCTAAGGCAGTGAGTTACAACCTCTTTTTGACCTGTGCACACCAAATTTTCCCCCAGCTACGCTTCCTATAAAAGTGTTTCATCCCCCATCCACCTCCTCATTTACAGAACAAAAATGTTCCCTGGGCAGACAATAAAATCCCTGTTAAGAAATTCCAGGTCCCTTCACACCTCTTGCTCTGTGTCCCAGAGCTGCAAGGAGAAGGAAGTGGCTGCCATGTGAGGTTCAGGCTGATGGAGAGACGAGGGACCTGGTGTGTGGCTCCAGCCACAACCACCCTGGTCACCAGCTCTCCCCAGTGGTACATTGCTTTTGCCCTCCAGCAAGTTGGATTTTTCAGTGTTTTGCCACCGTAAGACTCCTCGCTCCTGAATCTTGGAATTTTTCACCTTTCAGCTTCCATGCCAACCCATGCTCGGATTCCACAGGCAGTGGTTTCGTTTGGTTTTCTCCCTGTGTCTTTGCCTTAGGGACATGCCACATACAGCTGAGGGTTGAGCTGAGCTTACCTTGGCAGCTGAAGGTTGGACTTGGCCCACCTTGGAGCACCCTGCAGCTGGCAGAGCACACTGCTGACATCCAGTTTCCTAGGGCTGGGAAACTTTTTTTTAAGGAGATTAGAAAACAAAAGCATCTTTACTACATGATACCTTGGCCTTCATGGAGTTCCCCTACAGAACAGGCCCCTGCTGCCCCCTGCCCTGGAGCTGGGCAGGGCCGTGGCTAGGCTGGCTTGTCCCTCTCCCCAGAGCCCAGAGTGGGCAGTGAGGAGGGTGTTTTGCCATGAGGCTTCCCTGATCCATGCACACCGTCCAGAAATGCCAGGACTGAGGGAGCTGTTTCACAGCTGCCCCATGTGCTGTGACTTCCAGAGGTCACGCCCCTGCAAGCGTGTGCCTTTCCACATCGCACCTCTCCTACTCCAGGTGCTCAACCGAGTTCCACAGCAGTCGTCACATCCTTCTCCCTCTGCTCAGTGAATCCTAAACCTTGCCCTGGCAGATGCCAGTCCAGCCTGGGCTCCTCAGACCCCATCCCAATTTCCTGGACTGCTCTGCCCAGCCTTGAGCAGCATTACTGGGTTTCTCCAGCAGCCTTTGCACCTCCTCATCTCAGCTCGTTGTCTGGGAGGGTACAAGTTTCCCCCTTCTCTGGCTGCTCCTTCCCACTGTCTCCCTTCCTATTGTCCCTATTCTCCCTCGTAAGCTCCTAAGTCTTGCCCACCCTGTCCCCTGTGTCCCTCAGATGCTGCCACAAGGGAAAATGGCAACTCACCAGCATTTAGGTCCTCTCTGTCCTGGGTAGGGGCCATCCACCTGGGGATGCATCTGTGGGGTCTGCAGCAAATTTCCAGCTTGTATCCTGGGGCAGGATCCTCTCCATAGGGCAGGTTGTGCCCTGGGACGTGGAGCTTGGATACTGATACCAGTGACATTCCCACCAGGAGCTTCTAGTGTTCCCATAATGTCCAGCCTTGAGATAAAAGACCCGTGTGGATCATGGCTGCACCACCAGCACTGCAGCACGTGGACAGACAGTGGGGCCTCCACTGAGCCTGTAGGGGACTCACCTGAGCTTGCAAGAAGGTTTCCTGGGCGGTGGAAGATGCTGTGGAGGACAGGAGGGCTCAGGGGGCTGGGTGGTGAGGCCGTGAGCAGGAGCTGTGCCGGAGGGGCCCAGGAGCATCCCTCGGTGTCACGGGCTGCCCACAGCAAGGACATCGCTGCACAGGGGATGCACCTCCTGGCTCACACACTGCTGGTGGCCCAGGATTCCCTGGGACCAGAACACAGACCTGATGCAGGGAATCTGACCTGCACACAAGGAAAGAAGAGGCCTGGGAGAGCTGGAGCAGCACTGGACTGCCTGTGTCCAGGCACACCCCTGCAGGGTACCCCGGGGCAACCAGCCCCGTCTGCGCCAGTATCCCACTATGGAGCTCAGCTCAGCTGCAAGGCACTGGGCTGGTATCGTCCCACTTTGTGCTAGGGACTGAATCCAAAAAATCCTTAAATAGGTGATTGCAGGAGAGCAGACACAGCCTGTATCATGGAGCCATTTAAGGCAGGAGACAGTCTCTGGACATGGAAAAACTCAGCAGCTGGAATTGTGCCAACCTCCCCCCCCCCCCCGAAAAACATTCCTGCAGAGGGAGGGTTCAGCTCCAGGGTCAGAGGGGGAGGCTGGGGGATCTCTTGGCAGAGAAACAAAGCCAGAGCCATAACTGTGCTGTCACCCCTGTGGAGCGACATGGGAGGGATGCAAGGGAAGAGCCCTACCCGAGGGACAGGATGAGGTGTAGGATCCATGTGCATCCTCACAGTCCCAGGCAAGCTCAAACCTGTAGCAGACTGTGCTGTTTAGTTATTTTGAAGCTTATTTCTGTGGCACAAGTGATGGTCCCACCCCGCAGCGAATCAGACACACCTGGAGGCAGCCCCAAGCTGGCAGTGGGGGCACAGTGCCCGGGATAGTTTGATATTCGAATATCTCCAGTGGAGGTCTAGATCAGCCCCAGCTATTTCAGTCCCAGCCTGTCACCTTTTCCAGCCTTCCTTCCAAAAAGCTTTAGCAGTGTATTCAAACTTTCAGAGCCCAGCAGACACTAAACAAATCCCCAGTGGGGTCCTTTTGCAAAGGGCAGGGGACAGCCAAGCCAACGGGTCCTCAGCATACCCAAAGCTTGTAGTGCCATGGCATCCAGCTCCTCATTCCTGCATTTCAGCAGAGGGGCTCAAAGCACTCACCATCTTACAGCCTCTTCAGAGGCCAGTGGCACTTGAGAACACGTAATCATGAGGTGAGGGAGGTGTTTTGGCATGGAACCCAGAGGGGGAATTAAGACGCTCACAAACAGCTTTTGCATCCTTGACCTTAGCTACTACTTGTCCCTGCCAAGAGAGCTCCACTGGCCACACAGCCCCAGGAGGGCTGAGAGATGACCTGAGCAATGACTCCACAGCACATGTTCCCCTCTGTCCAGCAGGGACTGACAGTGACGTGGCAGGTCCCGTGGTGGGTCCTGCCTGTTTTGCAGGCAGAGGAGTCATTCATCTGCAGGCAAAGTCTGGGCCACCTGGGCAGGGCTCAGCTGCCCTTTGGACTGTGGGCGGTGCATTCACACGTGGCTGAGCACACACTGTCCCCTCCCAGGGGACACAGGGCCGGCACAGCATTGGCAGCTGCTCCTCCTCAGAGCACATTTGGGTCCCCCAGGCACCAAATGGGCTCTGGGCCCTGTGGGTCTTGGCACTGGGTCAGCACTGCCAAGGGTCCTTATCCAGTGGCTGAGCATCCCATGGGGAACTACAGCTGCTGCTGTGGCAGCTCCTGGAGGGTTTTGCTTTGCTGCCACCATGGCTGGCATCACCCAGCATGGCTCAGGGGTGCTGCCGGTCACCAACCAGAGCAGGTTCCCACCCCTCCCTGATTCCAAGGGGGACTTTGGTGGCCCACAGCAGAGACTTCAAGGGACACAAGGAGTACCCTTCACCTATATTCTTTCTCCCCCTTCCACTGGGGCTTCCAGATGGACCTGACCACATGGAAGCAGCCTTGTGCCCCAGCCCAGCCTGCTCTTCCTGGTCCCCAGAGCATCACAGATATGCACAAGACCCCAGGGCCAAATCACACCAAACCTGCTGTCACCACTCCCAGCGAGAGCACAGCACTGCCCTGCCAGTGCCCATGGGTGTCCCTCCTCCGTAGCGGCTGTGGCACTTCTCAGGGGACCAGGAGTGGCATACTGCCCTCCCAGATTTCCTCATGTGTCCTAGCTTTACTCCATGACTTTAGGAGAAGGACATTTTGTTAAAATCTCAAGTTCCCAGGCCCTGGGCATCAAGGCAATGCCAGCAATCACAGGAGCTGGCAGAACTCCCTGTCCCTGTGGGCACCCACTTGTGCATATGGAGGCACGCACAGCTCTGTGCAAAGGATGGGGCTAAGGGCTTTTAGGTAGGGCAGCTAAAACTTAGTCCAGCTCCATCCTGTCCTGGAAGCTGCTGGCATCACCCTCAGCATGGAGTACCTGCACAGGGTGAGCAGCTGCTCCTACCCTGCGGAGGAAGTACAGGGATATGGGGCTGGGAGGTGGCACGTTTTAGATGTCACTGTGCTGTGGCTCAGTCTGAGGCCCTCCCGAAAGGCACACCAGGAGTGTGGGGGTTACCTGCTGCTCTGCACGTATCTGGATGAGGTGGGATCCTGTTTGGAGAATCCCCTGTGGCAGGCACTGGGGTGAAAACAACCTTCAGCTCTTTCGCCTGCTCCCACCGTGACAGGACAGCCACAAACGCCCCTTCCCGAAGCACAAACAGGGCAGTGTTTGGGGCTGCTTTACCCTGGGCTGAGGCCTCTCAGTTGAGGCCAAAGTAAGCAGCTCCTCGGCAGCAAGCACCTCTCCGGGGCTGGGAAGGCTCTGACCTGAGCACAAACAAACACAGAGTTAGGGAAAACACTTCTGGCCTCTGTGAAACCTCCCTGCATCCCTTATTATGCCCCTGTCCCCTTGCTACACACTAGCTCAGCCCCTTTGGCTCGGGAATGGGCAGTGCAGGAGATGGATGTCCTTGTAGAGCTGCATCTCTCCAGCCCTGCTCAGCCACGACTTCTCCCTTCCCACGTCCTGCTCCACTCTCGAGGGTGCCGGCAGGCTCCGGGAGCAGGACAAGACTGAGCTGTAAGCAGGCAGGAGCTTCAGGGAAGGGCACCGTGTGCTCATACCATCACACCCAGACTCCCGACCTGGCTGCTGTGGAGTCTGGTTTGGCCAGAAAAGCAGGTGCCTCGCTGGGCTGGAACGGGGAGCGGGGTTTGCAGCACAGGCTGGGGTCACGTATCCAGCAGCAAGGCTGGACAGGCAGGGGGATGTCCAAGCACACAGAGGACCCGGCCAAATACCACCGACCGGCTGTGCCCTTCTCCGTGGCCGCTTAAGAATAGCACGTTGGGGCTGCAGGAGGAGAGCCCTTCGCCATGGTGTGGGACCACGGCAGGAGCATCCCTCCTTCCCGCCGGGCCGTTTTTGGGGGGGGGGGGGGGGGGGCAGGCAGGACCGAGACAGCGCCCAGCACCCCCCGGCAGCAGCCTGCGTGTGGGACACGGGCCGTGGCACTCGGGATGGGCAGCTCCCAGCACGGAGCTGGGGTGACCCGTGATCCCACCCGCAGCCGGCTGCGGGGAGCAGCAGCTCCCTGGGAGCGGGGAGCGCAGGCCGGGGCGGGGGTTCCCGGCGGGGTGTGACGGTGCCCGGCGCTGCCGGACCCCGGGCCCGCCCGGCCCGTCCCACGTCCCGCGGCTCCGGCCGGCAGGGGGCGGCCCCGCGCGCCCAGCGGCCCCTGCGCGGCGCCGGCAGCGGCGGGGGCGGCGCGGCCCGAGCGGGGCCCGAGCGGGGCCGTGTCTGCGGGGCCCCCCGCCCGTCCCGGGGCCATGGAGCCGGTCCCCGCGCGGCGGTGGCAGAAGGTGTTGTACGAGCGACAGCCCTTCCCCGATAACTACGTGGACCAGCGGTTCCTGGAGGAGCTGCGGAAGAACGTGCACGCCCGGCAGTACCGCTACTGGGCCGTCGTCTTCCAGTCGGGAGCGGTGGTGCAGCAGCTGTGCAGCGTCTGCGTCTTCGTGCTCACATGGTGGTACATGGACGCCGGGATGCTGAGCCCGCAGGGGCTCTTTGGGGCGGCCCTGGTGTCCTCGCTGCTCGGCTACGTCCTGTTCGACGCCGTGGACGGCGGGGCTGGGCGGTGGGAGAGCGGGCGGACGCGCTGGGCTGACCTCAAGAGCACGCTGGTGTTCGCCGCCTTCACCTACGGCTTCTCGCCCGTGCTGAAGACACTGACCGAGTCCATCAGCACGGACACCATCTACGCCATGTCGGCCCTCATGCTCCTGGGCCACCTCATCTTCTTTGACTATGGTGCCAACGCTGCCATCGTGTCCAGCACGCTGTCCCTCAACATGGCCATCTTCGCCTCGGTGTGCCTGGCCTCGCGCCTTCCCCGCGCCCTCCACGCCTTCGTCATGGTCACCTTTGCCATGCAGATCTTTGCCCTCTGGCCCATGCTGCAGAAGAAGCTGAAGGCCCGGACGCCCCAGTGCTACGTGGGGGTGACGGTGCTGTTCGCGCTGGCGGCGCTGGCAGGACTGGCCACCATCTCCAGCGTGGGTGCTGTGCTCTTTGCCTCACTGCTGCTCACCATCTCCTGCCTCTGCCCCTACTGCCTCATCCGCCTCCAGCTGCTCAAGGACAACATCCACGGGCCGTGGGATGAGGCTGAAATCAAGGAGGACCTCTCCAGGTTCCTCATGTAGGCCTGGCCTGGAGGGACCCTCTGCTGTGAGCAGTACAAAGGTCCTTGCTGGGGGACAGCCATGGGCAGGAGAACATCTGACCCAATAAAGCCTCACACAGCAGCAAGGACCATGTTTATGTTCCCTTCAGCATCTGTTTCCAAACCTGACTTGCTTGGGTTTGGTGAGGAAAGGAGCTGAGCCCCAAAGAGCAGCTGGTCCCTGCAGCAGTTCGGGGTGCAGACAAGGAGGGTGGTGTCTGCTCTGGTCATGCAGACCCATACCTGAATTTGGGGGGGTGGGGGGGTGGGGAACAGAGGGATGTGCATCCCCTGAGCAGAAACACCACTTGGAAACGCACATCTGGCCCAGATGTGCCCCACGGGCCCTCAGTGTGTGCACTGCAGACTGACAGCACTTTCCCAGGGGGCTGGAGGGGAAGGGGCTGGTGAGGGTCACTGCGGGCAGGGTGGAGGTGCAGGGTGGTGGGTGCTGAGGGACCTGCAGGACTGAGCACAAGGGCACCTGGGGTGGGTGTGGTGCACAGCCCTGCTCACCTGCACCCCGACAGTCACTGCTGCCAGAATAGCCTCATGACACTGCCAGATACCACACTATCCTAAATCCTTTGGGAGAGGTGGGGATGAGAGGGCATGATGCCTTCCTCTCTTCTCTTTTTTCAGAGGCTAATGAGGCCTCGCTGCAGGGCCAAACCCTGATCCAGAGGGATGGAGCTCAGCACAGCCCCCCATGGGTGCAACCCCAGCTGGTGAGATGCCACGCTGCTGGGACAGCGGGGGAGGTCTATCAAGATCTCATCTGGCACCGTCTGTCAGGTGTCCGTCTGTCCGTCACCGCTCACACCGCAACAGAGGGCGCTCCTGGCAAACAAGTCTCACTGGAGGCCAGGCCAGGCCAGCCGGACCCCGTGCTGGGAGGGCCTCCCTGGTACTTTCGCTTTCCCTGCTCCCATCCGGCACCTTCCCTCGGCAGCCCCAGCCCTGCTCCGGCCACCCAGGGGAGCAAAACCCTCCTGAGCCAGCACTGCCAGAGGGAAGGGATGCCCATACTCTGCCCCAGCCTCACTGCACAGGGATACGTTTGGTATCACCCGGGTTTTTACGAAATTCTTCTCTTTTGGAAACCCAGCACTGCAGAAGTGCAACTTTCTGCTCGATTTACCCCAGCCCCGCGAGCACCAGGGTCTCATCCTACGGAGCAGGCGCTTGCCGCGTTCCTCGAGTTTTCTCGGAAATGAGCAAAACCCGGTGGAGTCCCCAACACCTCCAGTGCTTTGTTACAGCTCCTGCCAAGTGTTAAATGTTGCTGTGGTCGTCATGGTGACAACTACATCTCATTTTAGTTTTAATTAAAACCTGCAGCAGTTTGGAGCCCGTGCTGCAGTCTCACAGGGAACACAGAGTAGCCAGATGTCAGAGTCAAGATGACATTTTTTAGGTCTTTGGAAAGGAGACTGGTTCTTTTTCACAGGGAGGTTTCCCAGATTGCTGCTCAGTGACCAGGATGCCTGGCCCATTTGACCCCGGGCTAATGCCAATGTAATGCTGCCATCCAAAGCTGATTCACAGAGCCCACTGATAGGACACAGCTCGAGTGTAAATCAAAAATCTCACCTGCCCGGCCCCTGTCTATCACTTCAGAGGCTACAAGAAAGCAGAGTTTCTGCTGCACCCATTCCCCTAAGAAGAAATATTTCCTCAAAAATACTTTTCCCAAATTCACATTCTAAAACCAGCTCCGGGTTAGGAAAAGCAAATCTTGACCACTCAGATATTCCAGGTGGAGATGGGCACAGGCTGCCATCACCTCAGCCAGAGCAGGAACCCAGTGGATCACCTGTGCAAATCCCTGGGCTTTGACTGATGCAGCAGGCCCCATCCACCCAGCTCTAGGTGGGTGCAGGCTGTGTCCCATCCAGCCCAGCCCACCACAGACAGATTCATCCCTGCCCACAGCCACAGGCCTCTCTGCTCTGCCCAGCTCTTTCCCTTCATCTCCTCCTTACAATCAGTCACAGAATTCTCGGATTAGACTAGCAGAGCCTCAGTGCTCGCCCAGAGATCAGCAGGGAAAGGCTTAGCCCTCCCCCTTGCTTGCCCACACAGATACCCTGCTCTGCCTAAGCTGGGGGATGAAAATATAAATCCAGTCCATGGCCTGGATGCACAGAGGGACACTGAAAGAGGAAAAAATGCGAGAGAGCCAGGGAGAGGAGAGGAGGAGACACAGAGGCCAGGCAGGGTTTCCCTGGGACTTCCCTGACCTTCTCCTGAGGACACATGCTCTGCAGTGCTGCTTAAGTTATTTAAGCTGCTGCATAAATGGCCATTATGGGTTTGTCTACATGCCTGAGGTCAGAATATTCTCTACACAACAAAATTTTGCCATAACTCTACGCCCATCCAGTAAGGCTGGATGCCCTTTGGGCATTTGCTACCTGAGCAAAGCATTCTCTGACAAAGCCCACACTGAGACCAAAAACATAGGTCCTCAGTTCATGATGCAACCAATGCATGGTAAAGAGTTAAATGTTGTTTTGCATTACGAGGAAGTTTCTTTCCCTTAAGTTTCTGAGTCCACTGAGATCAGTCCTTCAGTGGGACATTGCATTTGATTTGAAGCTGGCCAAATGTGTGTAACTGAAGTGGCTGGGGATAAGCCTCGCTCCTGGGGGAGCCACTGACACGTGCAGTCTGGAATCCTCATCTACAGCCTCTGCTGCAGGGAAAGACAAGTGTCAGCCACCCACACCGTGCTGTCAGGGGGCCACATCCCTCCCCTGCGGGAGACTGGATCTGAGAAGCCTGGAAAGAGCAAAACTTTAGTCTTTGAAGGTAAGATCCTTGTGTCTCTTCAATTCCCACAGCAATCACTCAGTTGTTTTCAACTTTGTGATGTGAGAAGCAACAGCAACATGAATCATCAGGAAACCAAAACAGGATTCTGGTCCTAACCCACTCACTGAAAAGCAGCCCTGGACACATAAAGGCACCAGCTGGTGCAGCACCTTTATCCTCCTCTACCTGGCCACAGATCAAACACCAGTGAGGGCTGGAAACAGCACAGACAAGGTTAAACAGCTTCTTCAAAAAGTCACTCCATGAGCTGATGCTAAAGAACACTCCAGGGTTTCCCAGTACACCAGTAGTACCCATGTCTTTCTACTTAGGATATTTTAGAAATGGCCACCAGCAACCCATGAAGTTTGGAGTCCTATTTTCAACAATATTTTTTATCAAATATTTCCTAAGAAGGTAAAGATCTGTGTCAAGGGTTTACCACCATAAAATGTCCTGAGAAACAAGTTTGTGCTTTCCAGCCTAATGCCTGGAGGCCCTCTGGCAGCCGGGTGCTGTAGGCAAGGCCATTCAGCTAAAATATCATCTACCTTTTATTTATTGTTGGTTCATCTGTTGGTACCATGTCATACCCCAGAAGGAATACAGTGAGAACTTCCCCCAGTACAGAACAGACTTTTAAACAACCTGGAAAAAAAGCAGCTTGTGAGGTTCAGCCTGTTCCCATTCCCTCTTACCTGAGAGGTGAAGCATGGGCAGAACCTCCTCAGGAGCTTGCTGGGTACAAACACTGTTGCTTCTGTAGTAGTTCCCTAAAGTACACAATTCCTGAACTCTGCTAAGGTGCTTTTTGCCTCAGTACCTGATGGTGACGAGTTCCACAGATGAGAGATACAGCCAACCTGAGCAACTCCATTCCTGGGACAGTTGTGTTCCTGGGATTGTAGGAGCCTCCATTTCTGCCTTTCCCAGTGTGTACCCTGCCAATCACTGTACTCTCTCCAGTTCCTGCAATTCCTAGTTTAGCACATGCAGTTCAAAGGTCTGGCAAAAATGATTATTTATCTCCCCCTCCTAACAACTGCTGTACATGGATTTGGGGTTTTTTGGGGTTGGGGGTTTTTTTCCCCTTTTTGCTAATACCATTGCTGTTTCCTCTCTTCTGCTCTACCAAAAGACAAGTCTAAGTAAGAAGAAAGAATAATCAGTGAAAGTCTACAACTCTCCGGGCTTGCGCTCCCTTATAATTTGAGCAAACTCAGTGTCTGGCATTTACCAGCTCATGCAGGTGGTTTAGCAGCTCCCTGGATATTTGAGAAGTCAGCAGAGACCTAAATCAGCTGGAACAAGAGGAATTGCTAAATTCAGCAAAGCTGTGTCAGACCCAGCTTGAAAACGAGCCTGTGTGTTGCCAGGCCCCTTCTACACACACAGGCTGATCTCCCCCACTCCCCTGCCCCCATCCCCTGAGCAGTCTGGCTGCAGCTCCCTCTCACCACCAACTCCCCACTACCCAGAAACATCTTTTTTGTGCTCCTGAAACAAAGGCTGGACTCTGATGCCCAGAGGTGCCTCCAGTCCCTACCTGTGCAGTGCCTCCTGATTTACCTCTGTGGTTTCTGAAATATCCCTTGTTTCTTTTCCTATGAGAAAAAAAGTCAGTAAAACCCATCAGTTTTCCCTTTTCTTTCCAGCCTTACTCTCCCATATATTTCTCTGGAACCCTAAACAAGCACATCTCCTAAATGTTAAATCCCTGATTTTATCTTTCCCATAGAGACAGACACATTTGGAACCCCAGAGGTAGCTACTTACAGCTGTTTGAGCTCAGATGCTCCAGTGAGGGCAGCTTGCAAGGAATTCAGAGGTTTCGCTTGAAAAAAATGCTCAGAGCAGCTGCACTTTATTTATAACTGTGGAGATCCATCCGTCTAGAGACTGTTGCAATCTCCTCCTTTGAGTTTCTGCTCAGCCAGGTGCTGCTGCTGGTGCGTTAGACATGTTTTAGGACCCTGTTGGCTATTCTTCCTGCTAATGCTAAGCCAAAGCCATTTATATGAAGCAATCCTGGTGGTTAATGAATTCAGAAGCAGTGCTGGAATCCCAGCAGAATGTCCGTCCCTCCGTCCACCACCTTGGAGGGTGGGAGCCTCTACAGAGCCTAGGTGTGAATGGCTCCATTTGAGAAAGAGTGGGTAGACCCTTCAGTGTAAAACCACCACACATTCCTTTTGTAGTCAGAATTTTATTTGCTTTACATCCAGGCTTATCATTGACATCTGAAAATAAAATCTTTCATTTACAAGTA